GACAGCCATAGTGGAGAACAGGAATAAGACCCAGCCAGAGACATGGTGCAAATGTGCTGGCAACATTCAGTACATCAACATGGTGTCACCTGTCTGTGCAGTTCTGTGATTTCATCCACAGCCTGTGGTGGCCCGGAGGTAAGGGTGGATTTAGGGTTTTGTCAGACAGGCGTGGAATATCTAGAAACTGAAATAGCTTTTTGTGTTTGTGTGTGTGTGTGTGTGTGTGTGTGTGTGTGTGTGTAATAACAAAGTAGTTGAGAGGCTGGCTCATGGAGCTTAAACCAAGGCTTGAAAAGGCATGAGGCCAAAGAGAGGGACTGATTAAGTAAAGCAAAAGCAAAAACAAAGATCATGAGACAAGATGAAGAATCCTGGAAAAATATAAGATCATTACAGAGGTTGAGATGGAGGTTTGAGATTTTGGAAGCACAGTATCTAGGGCAGTGACTTAGCCCAGGGTGTGTCCATAGGGGTGGGTGGGTTAGGGATGCTGGAGACAAAGACCTCTGCAGTTTTGAGTTGAAGGAACTAAACTCTCCAGAAGATACGGGACAAGATCATGTGGTCACATCAAATGATGTATTATTCATTCATTTGTCACATGCATCCATTAAGTGTCCACTTTGTACCAGACACTGCCCTGGGTGCTGGGAATGAGAGTCCAGGAAGAAAGACAATACCCTGCTCTCCTGGAATTTACAATCTAGTGAAAGGGTGAGTTGGGCAATAGCCAAAATAAACAAACACAAAATGTCACATGGGCATGTGCTATGGTCAGGGTTAGTGAGGCTTGATCATGTAAGAGGGGCACACGGGGGTGGTCGGGAGAGGCCATGAAAGAAGTCATAGTTGTGTGGATATCTACTTGTTAAGAAAATAAAATTCAGTCATTTATTTTATTTATTTTCTTTGAGAACACCATATGCCAAGCACAGTGCCAGACACAAGGAATGCAAAGATACATAAAACAGAGGCCCCAGTCACACAAATAGAATAGAGATATCAATAATATCAATTAAGTTCAGAATGATCTCCCAGGACTCCAAGACTGGCTTTCAATTTGTAATTTTTCCTAATTAATATCAGGAGTTTCTATTTTCAGTGATACCTACAAAATATTTTACTAAAAAATAAATTATACCAAAAATATATTATAAGTAATGAATGGCCAGTAGGGGACCAACTGAAGTGATACCGAAAATACAGCATTATCCCATATGGAAGGAAAGAATGCTCAACTAAGAGGAGAAGACAGGAGAAAAATACATATTACGTGATAAAAGTAATTTCCATTGCCCCAGAAACTCTTAAACATAACTTCCTTTGTATTACTCACCTTATTATAAGGTACTAACAGGAAAACACTTAAAATTTGTAAAAATCAGCTATTCTTGGACAATTTCTGTTGAAGAGATATATTTTCAAGTTTAACTTTTTGAAACGTCAGAAATTGAAATATACTTTATAATATTGTTTACACTCCTTACCGTGTTGTTATTGACAACAAGAAGTGTCACTGGGTGTTGACAGAATTCAGTTTTTGTTCTCATAACCCCTTATTGCATCTGAAAAAAATTAAGGACTGGGAGACCTGAAGTAATTCTGAGGTCATCATTGCATGAAAATGGGTTCAACCCCAGAAATTTTATTAGATAACCAGATATTTCCCAGGGGCTTAATGAAAGATTTGAATACAAGTCATCTCTAGAAGACTTTAAATAATGAGATAGGTTTAATCTTGTTACTGACACAGATGTCATTTCTTTTATGATTATAATGTAATGTATTGTCTGACACCTCCAAAGGTCTACAAACAAGGGAGGAAAAACACTATCAAGTTTAGACAGACAAGGGCTCTGGAGAGTGGTAAGGGAGCTGTGGGGGAGTCAAGTGAGAGCTAGAGTTAGCTGGGAGATCAGCTTTGAGTCTTGGTTCTGCAATTTATTAGCTAATAATCTAGCCATATAACTTTTCTGAGCCTGTTTCTTTGCCTCTTTTCTTTGGATGAATGCCTACTTCATGTGTTTGTTATAGTAAGTAATCTATACAAAGTGCTTCATCCTAGGTAGTGCTTAACTAGGGCAAAGGCTTATTCATGAAATTATTACTAAAAAAATGGCATATCTGCTCAGATTAAGTAACAAGTTGGGAGTTACTGCTGAGATATCACCCAAAGATTTGCCTCTAGAACGTGGAATGTATGCTGCCTGTCTTTAAAGATGGCAAAATTTTGCTCCATATGTATCTGTGGAATAAATATAATTGCAGTGGGAGGTTAGCCCAGGAAAGTGGGATTAGGGTCCCAGATCCTTCTGACTGTCCATACCACACACTTAACTGACCTTAAATCATGCCAGCAAGTGGAACACAGGGCCACCAGAGGAAACCTGTGTCACTCAAGGATAAAGACACTTGTTGAATAAATACATTTTTTATTTTATTTTTAAAAGATTTTATTTATTTTGTAAGAGAGAGTGCACAAGTGCAAGAGAGAGAGAAAAGGAAAGAGCGCTGGGTGGGGAGGGGCAGAGGAATGGAGAAAGGAAGAAGGAGAAGCAGACTCCCTGCTGAGCAGAGAACCCTACATGGGGCTAGGTCCCAGCACTTCAGGACCATGACCTGAGCTGAAGGCAGACGCTTAACAGACTGAGCCACCCAGGTGCCCTAAATGAATACATTTTTAAAATGCAATTAGGCAATGTACATTCCAAATGTAGATGGTCTCCAGTCTTTCCTATTATCTACAACAGTTTTCATTTGGGTAGCACTTTGAATTGATAAGCCTCTCATGGATAGTTTAACTTTGATCAGGGTGAGTAGAACAGATGTTCTTGTCGGCACTTGACAAGGAAGCTGATGTTTAGGGAGGTTAAGTAACTTCTACCAATGCTCTGGCTAATCATTCTCCTAGCTGAGATTTGAATTACATTCTTATACCTCCCTAGTTCATTGCTATTCTCTGCCACTCTTTAGTGTCTTCTTGTTAGTTGGTGTGATGCTATGCAGAATTTAGCTGGAATCTCATGAGAATTGCAGAATTGCTGTAGGCCAAATAATATTGATAATGATAACTAACATTTAATGAATGCTCATTATATGCCAGGAACCATTCTAAGCATTTCCCATGTATTATTGCACTGGATCCTTGCCAAAAACCCTCTGAGGGAAACACTATTATTATTCCCATTTTATAGATGTCAAGGCAGAGGAACAGAAAAGAATGGTAACTTGTCCAAATCATACAGCCAGCTGGTGTGGAGTTGTCTGCCTCCTTTACCTGCCTCACCACTTTCCTGCCTAAGCAAGCTAGGGAGCTTGCCTTTTCCAACTCTTAGATGATATGTTTATTGGCTTTAAAGAGCTTGGTAGCACCAAGACACACTTCACAGGATATGTTTGAGTGTCCCCCAAACATGCTGAGGTCTAAAACTAAGCCTCTGTACACAGTCATCCCAAAACAGATGAATCTTAACTAGTCAATTTGCTTATGTCAACGCAATAAAGCATGGTTGTATAGGAAGTTACATTTATTCAACCTTTATGGCTGAATAAACAGATTGAAGAATGCCACAGTGTGTCCGCAAGCAGACATCAAGATGATTCCAATCACTAGACACTTTAATTCCAGTAGCCGGTAAGTATGATAAGTGATTTCTGACATGCTGACCCAGGATCTCCCATATGAGAGTCCCCAAAAGCATACATGAAAAATACAGAAAGGAATTACCATATTTGTAAAGTCAGTGAAATACTATGACACGACATTAAGGCTCAAGATTCCAGGCATTTACCAGTGTCCATGAGGAAAATACCAAACATAGCCAAAGATTTTTTTTTCAAATTTTTATTTATTTATGATAGTCACACAGAGAGAGAGAGAGAGAGAGAGAGAGAGGCAGAGACACAGGCAGAGGGAGAAGCAGGCTCCATGCACCGGGAGCCCGACGTGGGATTCGATTCCGGGTCTCCAGGATCGCGCCCTGGGCCAAAGGCAGGCGCTAAACCGCTGCGCCACCCAGGGATCCCTAGCCAAAGATTTTGATCAGCAGTGCGGAGCTCACGGCTAACACCAAATTTGCTTCCAAGAAAGCATGGAGCCCAACAATATTTTAATTAACAGAACAAAACCCAAAAGCACTCACAACTGTTAGCATTAGAAGACTGGCAGATTCAGAGCTTGGCAGTGCAGCACAAGACACACCCACTGGGACAGGTACAGATCAGTGACTATGAGCTAAGGAGCCAGCATGAAAGCCAGATTCTCCAGAACTTTCAGCAATATTCTTTTATGAGGAAATAAATAATATGAGTTTGCATTTCAGAATCTCCATAACAAGACCCTGAAATATAGCCTGAAGGGAGTGCTGAAGGAATAGTTGCCACATCATGTATCTCTGGGGGAAAGAATGTGCAAAGAAAGAGTCACACTGAGCTCTTTACCCTTCTATTGTGCAGCAAGGAGAAATGGGTCACTGTAAGGAAGGTAATTTCCTACAACGAAGCTGAAAAACAGTATGAAATAAGGGATCATAACCTTAGGTTCCTGGCAAAGGTTTGCTGGCCTGGTATAGTTGGAAACTGAATTCTTTTTCTAAGCAGAGGCTTCTGACAACAAAATACTCAGCAAGTGAACAGATATGTTCCTCCATTCTTAGTTATAAGTGGCGATGGCACAGGATGAGTTGGACATAGAAGGGGGTATAGAAGAAATCAGAAGTTAACAGAGTTGCAGAGTCGTTGGTATTCTTATATATAGGAGGGTGAGTGGCAAGCCCTCTTTATTGCCTGTGGTTGTGGGTACAGTGGTGATGAGTCTTAATTATATAACATTAAGAGAAGGCTAAGAAAAAATATCTTTTTTTTTCCTTTTTCACCAAAGTTGTTAATCATAGTATTATTTGTAAGTTCAGAAATTTGGAATGAAGTGTCCAAACTTATGAAGGTTTTAAAATAAATTATGTGTCTATCCAACAGAATTTCACACATTTACTAAAAACTGTATTTTTTTTAAGATTGTATTTATTTATTCATGAGAGACACAGAGAGAGGCAGAAACATAGGCAGAGGGAGAAGCAGGCTCCCCACAGGAAGCCTGATGTGGGACTCGATCCCAGGACCTCAGGATCATGCCCTGAGCCAAAGGCAGACGCTTAACCACTGAGCCACTCAGGTGTCCCAAAACTGTATCTAAAACAAACAAACAAACAAACAAACTTAATAGACTGGCAAGATTCTCACAATCTAAGTGAACAAATTTTTCAAAATTTGGGTGTTAAAATTATTCCTGTTTTTTTAAACATGCAAAGAAAAAACTGAAAAGGAAAATTTTCAAATGTTTTCAGCTTTCCCTACTTGGTAATATTACAGGTAATTTTAATGTTTCTATTTATAATTTTCTGTGTTTAAAAACTATAATCATTATTATGTATTCTCTATAGTGAAAATTACTAAACTTGATAAAAGAAAAGAGAGGGATAATTCATGACAATGAAACAGCACAGCCACAGGCATAATTAAAAGTTATTAGCCAACATATAGTACATCATTAGTTTCAGATGTACAGTTCAGTAATTCGTCAGTTGCATATGACATCTAGTGCTCATCACATCATGTGCCCTCCTTAATGCCCATCACCCAGTTACCCCATCCCCCACCTCCCCTCTTGCAGTCCTCAGTTTGTTTCCAAGAGTTAAGACACTCTCATGGTTTGTCTCCCTCTTTGATGACTTCCCCTTCAGTGTCCCACTCCCTTCCCCTATGATCCTTTGTGTCCAGCTACACTCTTAAACACAAGTACTTTTGTCTTTATCAAGCTGGGAAGTAAGGGATGAAGCTATGGGAAAGAATACAATCACCCAGGGACAAGAGCTTGAGAGAAAGGTGTGGGGTGGGGGGTGGGCGTTGAAAACTGAAACACAGGGAATGCCAACCCTGGAGGTGGGGGGGGGAAGCTCTGAAACAAACACCTCAGCCATGTGGTCTGACAGCCATGAGACAAGCCAGCATCAAGAGGACGCAAATGGTCAGCAGTGTCCCGGTGTCCACGTGACCTAGAAAGGACAACAGCAACGCAAAACATCCATTGGATTTAGCAACCGGACAATTATTGGTGACCTTGGAAAGACAGGTTTTGGTGAAGTAGTGAAGGAGACCAGATGGCAGTATTGATAAGGGAAGATTTCTTTTCCAAGGGATACAGGATGGAGGCAGCACGCTTTGCCAAGGGGGTTGTGGTTTTTTTGGTTTAAAGAAGGGTGAGCCTTTTTAGAAGAAGGTGGAGGGTGAAGGGGGTATAGAGGAGGAAATAACTGAGGTAGCAAAGTACTCATAGGGACAAGAAAGGACAGTAAACAGAGCACAGGTGGAGGACCAGGTCTTAGTAAGAAGAGGTGCTTTTCTTAGAAAGCACGGGTGGGGATTTCTTTCCTCTGAAGTAGACCTTATTGTCATCTGCTCAAGGTGAAGACCCCAGGGTGGGGGAATGTCATCCTTAAAGGAGTCCTACTTAAGGTTCAGCTTTGAGATAGGGCTTATGGATGCTAAGGGCCTGCATAGAGACTCCAAGTAGCCCTGAGGTTCTTGTGAGTTTAGAAGCCTTGCATTTTCAGCAGCAGCATGTGCACAGCTGTGAGATTTCCTGCAGAGAGGCTAGCAACCCAGGGCCAGGCAGGGAGATGGGCTGAGCTGTTACAGGAAGATTACTTTAGTCTTTCATCTGGCTTCTCTTGGATGGTCCTGAATTCAGGGACTCTTCCACAATCAGAACTAAACAAATTTGCTCTGCAAGAATTTATCTTCAAATTTGTCATTTAAAGAAAGCCCCTAATCCATGCCATCTGAAAGTAAAACATGTCCTGGAAAGGACTGGGGGCGGGGGGGGGGGGTGTCCAGGATATTTGGAGCTAAATGATTAGTGAAATAGCTGTAATATTCCTTGTATGGTTCTATTCTTGTGCAAATATTGTTACAACTACTGCTTTTGTTTGATTCAATTAGGTCCTTTTTAAAAGTTAATACACAGCTTCCCTGGGCAGGTAACTGTGAAACATTTTGTTGTTAGACTATATAGAAGTCACTTTAAGGTAACACAGATCTTTCTTCTTGCAGAGAATTTCGTTACCACTACATGCATACAAAACAGAGGATGTAATCAAAAGGGTATTTGGCATGGGCCCAGAAAGCTATCTGGATTAGTCTATAACTGGCTGCCATAGTTTCCAACCCATTTCTGATCCATGACTTATTGCTTCATAACTGACAATTTCAAAGGTTTACTGGGATGACGCATAAGAGCACAATCATTACTTTCTAGCTCATTCTGAAGTGTGTTTCATTAGTGAACATTTTTGATTATTAAAGATAACAAAATAAGACAAAGACTGTTTTTACCATCATTCTCCCCCCTCCCCATTTTCTACCAACAGTATAAACTGGTGGAGGAAATGTTTATTAAAGTGTAAAATTGCCGCAAGAGTACCTAAGGTAGCTGATAATTTCCACTCCTTAAGTCAGGAGCAAGTTATGTAATTGAGAAAGGATTCAGCAGTTTAATTTTCAAACTTCATGTGGAGCGCCTGAAGTTTTTAAAAAACGGCTGATTAAACTGGCCCTCTGGCAGTCTGGTTCAAAGACATTCAAAAAGAAATGATATTCCAGAAATTTTACTGTGAGTAATTTAGAAGTTTTCTTTTGAAATATTTCAATTCCTCTCGCCAAACTTGAAATGTGTGCTATTAATCACATCGTTGAATTACATCAAATGTTGTCAAAATGACTTTCTCTAAGGTCCACCAAGCACTTAAAAAGCAAAACATTGAGAATAGCAGGACACCCTGAGGCCTGAACCAGCAATGTCCTCATCTTACTTGTGAGGCTTTGGAACCCAATGCCTTGGACACCACCTCTGGAGGTATTTCAAGAAGAGCCAGCACCTTTCCTCCCTCTTCCCTGCAGGAGTCAGTTAACTTCTAATTATCAGCCTACTTCGTGTTGTTGACTAAAAACACCTTAACATTCTTCAATTTTCACATTTCACTTACTCATAATATCTACTTTTTATGTATATTTTATCTAGATTTTAAATGCTTTTCCACGGTATGTAAATCTACTTAATGTGGGTTACTCATGGTTTGGCCTTGATATTTTCAGTTATTTTCCTCCAAAGCAGAGGCTGTAATACTTTGACTCTTGAAATCACTGGGTTGATTGCAGCCAGGTAATCATTTCATCGATGAAATCAGGAAAGGTTAACCTAAGACCCAAGAATAGTAGTGTCAAACTGCAAAAGAGTGTCAGCCAAACTGAATACAAGATTTCAAGTGGCTCCAAGTCAGGAAAACTATGCCGAGTTATCATGGTACTGGCTGTGGCACCGCTTAAAATTTGTGGGTGTGATGGTGGCGATTCTGAAACTGAAAAAATGGAAACTGCCAAGAAATGGGTTGTGGTGCGGCCCCCGGCCTCCGAGTGAAACCGAAAAGGGGGTGGAAACTGCGTGAGTGGGGCCCGGGCCGGCCGTCGGGGTTGGGCGGGGGCGGGGGCGGGGGCTGGGGGGGGCCTCGCCGCGGGCAGGAGCGGGGCGCCGGGCGCGGGGCGCGGGGCGCGGGGCCGTCCCGGGGCGGGGGAGGGAGGCGGAGGAGGGGAGCGGGAGCGGGAGCCGGAGCCGGAGCGCGGAGCCCAGGGAAGGAGCGAGGGCACGCGGCAGAGGAGTGGAGGAGCCGACGGGGCGCAGAGGCCAGGCTCGCTCGGCGCCGGGCGGCGGCCGCCCCATGTCGCGCCCGCCGCGGGTCCGGGCGTCGGAGCGGGGCCGCGCGGGGGGGGCGGGGGCGAGCCCGCCGGCCGCTATGAGCTCGGAGCCGAAATGACCAGCGGACGGAGGCCCTCGGCGACGCAGCTCCGGCGGTCCATCAGCGAGCAGCTGCGGGATTCCACGGCCAGAGCCTGGGACCGGCTGTGGAAGAACGTCCGGGAGAGGCGCCTGGCAGGTCGGTGCCCGCGCGGCCACGGGGGCGGGAGGAGGCGCCCGCCGGCGCGGCCCGCGCGGGCTCTCGGAGCCGGGGGGGGGGGGGGGGGGCGGGCGGGTCGGGCGGGCTCCCCGCTGCCCGCTGCCCGCTCCCCGCGCTGCCCCGTGGCCGCGGCTGCGCCCCGAGCGCGCGCTGCCCACTCCCCGCCGCCCACTCCCCGCCGCCCGCTCCCCACTCTCCGCTCCCCACTCCCCGCTGCCCACTCCCCGCTCCCCGCTGTCCACTCCCCGCCGCCCACTCCCCGCTCCCCACTCCCCGCTGCCCGCGCTGCCCCTGACAGCCCGGCGGGGCGCCGCACGCGGGGCGGAGGGCGGGCGCGGGGCTCACCTGGCCGGTCTCCTGCGTGCCGCCTGCCTCCTTTCCCGCGGCCCGGCTTCGCCGCCTTCCACCCGGTGAACGAATGAGTGCCCGGCCCGAGGGGCTCCCCGCGAGGGCTGCCTCTCTCCCAACCTCGCCTTTCCCACGCGTGTTGCGAGCGGCGGGGTGGGGGTGCGGGACGAAGCAAGGGAGACTACCCAAAGTTCTGGGAGACCAGATGTTTGGGGGGTAGAAGGGGAGGTTTGGGGGAAAGACAGGTGGACAGCTCTTGGTGCAAGTCCATGGCTGCCCACAGTCCCTGCCCTGCTGTGAATCAGACTCTCCTCGCTTTGGAATTACGAAAGAGGGGCCTCCCTTTTGGATTCTGTTGCCCACGAATTAGTGAGAGAGAAGAGCTGATTGTTCTGCGCTAAGGGGTCCTTAAGAATCCTTGCTTGGGTCAGAAGCTACCGTCCTCCTTAGCACCTCCCCTAGCCTCCCCACGCTGTGACCTTACTTCTGTGCTCGTGCCATGGAACCATCTCCTTGTAGGGCCGCGGATGCAGTGAGTGGTCTGAGCCTTCTCAGAGCCCTCATTCAGAGCTGCAGGTCGTTAGTCACTACATCATACCTGCCCCAATAAGGGAAGGGAAGCCGCCCTACGCCCAGTTCCAGAACAGTGTGGGATTTAGGGTTACTTTTCCCAAGGACTGGCTGCTAGAAGATGTCTCTGGCGTTGTGGGAAGTGTGGTTGGAAGGGTCCCTGGGCAGACCAACAGTCCAATCTCTGGACCTTATTGCCTCCTGTCTCTCCAACAATATCTCCTGAGTTGGTCTGTGACCACAAGGATGGAAGAGAGTTCTAGAGAAGAAGCAGGTATGAAGCCTGGACAGAGGGAAGGGATGCCAAGGGTGAGATGGGAGATTTTAACTTCTCTGAGCTCCTCCCCTTTTCCTTAAAGTAGAACTGTAGACTAGTTTGCTAGATGTTCTGTCCCTACACTCCTACAGCCACCTCTCCCCATCAGCCTGAGGGCATTCTGGAGTAGGTGCCCTGTGTGTGTATCACCTTGGTCATTAGGTCCTTCTTGGTCTAACTGGTCAAATCAGGAGTAGGGATTACAGATGATTTCGACACTCAATGTTGTCAGCGTAAAATGTTCATCCCATGTCTCCTGTCCAACACAGTGACCCCGTTTTAGTAAGCGTCCAAGAAATAAACAGACTTTTTTGGTCTGGACCCAGAAATAAGTTGTGGTAACCAGGAGGTTTGACTGTTGATTTTTAAAGACATGTATGTGCATTGCAGACCTCAATTAATAACAATTAGTAACTCTCCCTGTTATGGTGCTAAATTGTATAATCTACATGATGGATGGTGTTGGAGAAATTTTTGTGGTCTAGTAAATGTTTGTTGCTTCATAACTTCAGAATGCTTACTGCAAATGTCTCTTTTAAAGCTTCTGTTATTTAAGTTTGTTAAGTTTGTTAAATCAATGGATCTTCAGGAAACAAGAAGTCTTTCCAGGAGGGCTGCCAAGGCTGTGCTGGGTTTTTATAGAAGTTGAGGCCAAAGATGACTGCAGCCCTGTCTTTTTGAAAAAGAGATCTGGAAAGGAAGAGAGTGAAATGTAAAGACATACAAACATTAAGGCTGTCCAGGAAAGTCATTTATTCATATGAATTTTAGACACTGCAGTTCAGTTAAAGCGATGGAGGGACAAAGGGAAATAAACCACAGGTAGAGATTTTAAGATTGTGAGTATATAGAACTTAAGGCTTGAAGTGGCTTCAGAATGGTAAGCATAAAAGTTCTCCAGAGTAGTGCATTTTTTTTTAAATAGCGGTATGAGGTTTTAAAATGTTTAATCGGAATATTAATATCTGCTTACCCATAATCTGCTTACCACTCTGCTAACAGTGGATGCCAGCGGGTCATTCACCTAGCACCAAACAATCCTCTGTGAAGCTGACTTCAACTTCTGCTTCTTTAAGCAAGCTGGGATGCTTGCCACAAAACCAAGCCAGCTCCATGAAGGAGCTTTTAGATGCAAATTGATTTTCTTGCTAAGGTAGCTAAAATATGGAACTTTGGCCATGAGACACTGAAATACTTAAGTTATTAATGTTGGCATCAATTCTAGGTGAAAGTGTTCTTCATTTGTAAAAGTGTTCTTTATATGGCTCTGTTCACAGTATCAGAATAACCAATTATGTGAATGTACCCTCAGAGAGCATCCACCCTGCTAAGACATGATACTGGCTTTTTTTTTTTCTATCAGATGAAAGTTGTGTGCTGGGACTTCTTTAATTTCCCTAAAATCTTCTTCTCACCTTTAGTCAATGGAATAGTGTTCAGTGTGCTTCATAACAAATTTGTATTTATTGTCTAGAGAATCCTGAAGATATTTGATTCTCCCCTTTACTCCTTTACAACCCAAGGAAGGAAATCCTTACTCTAACTCACTCTTGCTTCTCTTTGCAAAAGGCTGTCTTGTCAATGAGAGAGAAAGACAGGAAATGGATCCGTGTAACGATACTGAAGCCTGCAGATTTCTGTGCCGGGGGCCATATTTAGGAAGGAAAGGATTATACATAATCAGAAAAAGCATTTCTCAACACATATCACAACAACACAGGTAATGAAATCCATAAGAGGATAAGATGTGAATGGGGATGTTCAAATATGGCCAACTTATTACAAATTTTTAAAGAGCTAAGTTACTGTTAAAGAAGGATTGATATTGGGAGCTTTTCTTGGGCCTTCCAGTTCTGCAACGGTTGCCAGAGTTTCGTCAGATTGTAGCATATTTGCCAACTCATACTTTTAATTTCCTAAGACCCTAACCCCGTAGGGGTCAGCAAGAGTATTTCTCACCTGTTATCTGAGTATTGATTAGTCTAATAATGGTGGTGATTGTTATTTATTCCCAAGATGACAAAGCGAGTGTTCAAAGCAGGATTCTAATGCAGGTTGTCAGAAGTCAAAGGGCATCTGTGCCCGTTTTGTCTTACATCACTCTACCTCTTCCATGAGCTTTATGGAGACACATGGACCTCAAATCCTTTCCCCAAGGCTGTCACTTGCAGTTAGTTTTAAAAAGAATTCAAAGTTAACTGGAAAAAGTTGATTTTTGTTTTTTTTTTAAACTCTTGTTGGGACAAAGATAACCCTGTGCACCTAGAATCATTGTCCCCTAGTCATCCTGATGGGCTGATTAGTGAATGGGCTTATAGAGATTTGAAACAGTCATACCTCTAGCTTGTCGGGGACTCCTATGTGGTGTGCCTTGCCCACTACCATCACTATAAGAAGCCAAGGGCTGCAAGAAGGAGATGCTGTCATAAAGTCTAAATGTAGGTTTCTTTTTTTTTTTTTTAAGATTTTATTTATTTATTCATGAGAGACAGAGAGAAAGAAACAACACTGGCAGAAGGAGAAGCAGGCTCCATGCAGGGAGCCCGATGCGGGACTCGATCCTGGGTCTCCAGGATCACGCCCTGGGCCGAAGGCAGCGCTAAACCGCTGAGTCACCTGGGCTGCCCTAAATGTAGGTTTCTTCAAGGTAGCTGAGTGACAGGTTCTTTTGGCTTCCCCAGATCTCTAATCAGCCTCTACTGGTGACAGTTCCTAACATTTATAGCATCTTTAAGTTCTGTAAGCAGCAGCATACCCTTCAGCTTCTGGTGTTTGTAAGCATCTTGAACTACTTTTCAAATGTTAAGGTCTGAGAAAATCCAAATGAGTTTTCTAAAGCTTTCTGCTCCTTTATTTTAAAACCCCACTCTATGTTAATGGAAATGTAATCCATATGTTTGATTCCTTTATACTCACATAACAGTGTTTAGGTAGCTTGTGAACTAATTGATATCCAAGTCTTTTGATCTCTTTTATGGTCTCATTTTAAATCATTTCTCTTAGGCATAGGAAGTTCTATTGCTGCCAAGAATAAACTAACTTAAAACACTGAAAAGTTTGAGTTTTGATTAGAAACGCTAATTCCACCAAATTTCAGTGAGTTTTTGTCATGTTAAAACAGGTTTATTCATTCTCAGAGTCAACAGTAGCATCCTGTGATGTGATGTAAACAAGAGATTGGGACTTTAATGCAGAGTGGGATCAAGAGTAGGACATGGGCCATAAAAAAGTTCCTTATTAAAATCTGTGTTCTGTGATATCAGAAAGTACAGGATGATACTATCTGATCCTTTTCATGTGTTTTATATCAGAGTCCTTCCTTTTTATTATCACTTGCCTGTAAGGAACAGGCCATCCCACTGTGTCAGGTTTTTTTTTTTTTTTTTTAACATCTCTTGAAAGGAGAATATATTTAGATGTGATTTATATTAACAATAACAAAAAAAAATCTAAGTAAGTACACTGTTAAGATCAGAGAGATGGAAAGCATATTACTTATATCAGGGTTCTTAACCTTCGCTACAAATAGAATCACTAGGAGCCTCTCACAAATATCCGTGCCCTGCCTGCCTCTTAGAGATTCTAATTCAGTTTAGATAAGGCCTGGGGTTCAGCATTTTTTCAGACTCCAAAGGTAGTTCCACTGGGTAGCCTGGCCTGAGAACCACTGACTTATAATAACTACTTGCCCAAGTCTGTGTCTAGCATGAGGTCATATTCTAGGCCCCTAAGGAAAGGTTTGCTGAAGTTGAGTTGGAATGAGCTTGTTATTTTACAGGGGGGGAAAAAAGGTTTGGGCTTTGTTGTTAGGGCAAGAAAGTTGGATTTGGTTCTGCATATGATAAGAAGCAAAGGATTTTAAGCAGAGGACTGGCAGTGCCCTGTTAAATTGCCACCAGAGTGGTCTAGGTGAGAGATAAACAGTGATAGGGTGATAGTGATGGAGATGGAGAGAAAGGGACAGATTTGGAATATGTCTTGAATGGAGAGACAGCAGCACTGAGATTGATTGTTGGAACTAAGGGAGGGATCAAGAACTCTTCAGTTTAGGGGTACCTGGGTGGCTTAGTTGGTTAAGCATCTGCCTTCAGCTCAGGTCAAACCATCTGCTTTCAGCTTAGGTCATGATCCCTGGGTCCTAGGATGGAGCTCTGCATTAGGCTCAGTGCTCAGTGGGGAGTCTACTTCTTCCTCTCCCTTTCCCTCTGCATCCCTCCCCAAATATATAAGTAAATCTTTAAAGAAAGAAAAAAGAACTCCTGGGTTTGTAGTGCGATGGGCTGAGACAGTGCCCGCTGGCAAATTTGATTGTTGCAGCTGCAAATGGAAGGTTTTTTTTTTGTTGTTTTTTTTTTTTTTTTTTTTTTTTTTTTTTTAGCATAAGACAGAGGAGGAGTGAAGAGTTCTCCTTGAGCCAAATTAGACCAAAAATGCTTATCAAACATGCAACAATAAAAGCCAAAGAGGTGGATGGATACACAAGTACAGGTTTGGAAGAAAAATTAAAGCCAGATAAATCCAGAAGTGATTGGCATATAACTACTATAAAGTAAAGCCTTAGGACTTAGAAGGGGTTACTTAGGATAAGGGGAGGGGCCAAGGACAGGATCCTAGGGGACCCTTTATTTAGAGCACACTATTTGTTTTTTTTTTTATTTTTATTTTTTATTTTTTTTTAGAGCACACTATTTGAAGTGAACTTTA